GCTGAGGAATGCGTATTCTTAATAATGAAAGTTAAATTGAATTGTATCCTGCAGAGAACCTATCCAATTCAATTCTAGAGTACTCCTACCGAGTTAAAAATATATTATGCAGTTGTGGTGTCTCAAAAGGCAGTGCTCATCTACAAAACAAAACCTGAGAGATCTTCCATGAGAAGGTAAAAAAGGAAATGGGAAAGTAAATGCAGCCACAGCCTCTATCTTTGCTGGAGAAATGGGAATAGTGAGGCTGTGATCTCTGACCTTTGATTACCAAGCCAGTCCCTTGCAGAGGACAGTGATTCATTGCAACCCCCCTTATCTGCATTCGAACAGGCGCAGCCCTGGGCACTCCTTTGTCATATCCTGTAACTACAGATGCAGTAGATTCCCTGTCCTGGCAGAAATAAAGTTAAAAGTGTACTTTATCCTAGCTGGAATATGAAAGAACCTTTAATGAGATTTAGAAACGTATGCATAAAGCCTCGTATACCTTTTGTAATAAAACATACATTGGCATCTCTAGCTAATGTCTATTGTCGCAGTGTAAGCCTGTAGAGAGTAACAGGTGCTCTGCTTGAATTAAGAACTGATAAAAGGAATAGGATGCTGTATTTGAAAGTGGTATGAAGGCTGAAAATGTCCACAGGAATAAGAAAAAAATAAAATGTCTTTGTTAACTTTCCAATTATATTTTGTAAATGAAATCGAAGGAAAAAAGCTGCTTCAAATCAAACACTGGTCGGTCAGTATAGGTAACAACGTGGGTAAATGATTCCTCTCTGATTACCTTTTCAAAAGGTATGTACTCTTATAATCAGTCGATTCTCTGGACTATCCAAATGAGAAATAATCAAGAAGTTGAGATACCTACCATTTGTTTAAAAATCTCCTCAGGAAATGCTAAGTATCTATCTATCTATCTATCTATCTATCTATCTATCTATCTATCTATCTATCTATCTATCTATGTAGTGTTCCCAAATGTAACCAAAACAAGCAATGGTGTCTGTTTAGATACAGTTTGAAAGGAAAGTTTTAATCTTGTAAATAAAAAGTTCTTTTCCTTTGTTCTTATGTTTATCTAGTTCCTAAAGTTCAGGATGACTTTAGTTTCCACCTGTGCTTATGTATATAGTTTTAGAATTAAGTGTTGGGTGTAAATACGAATGTCCAGTGCTGCTCTTTGGAGCTAATAACTTTGTTACTTCCAATTCCTGATTCACAGGTAATCAGAATGTGTGTAAAATATGCAAATGCTCTTTCTTCCTCAGCAGAGGTTATTTTCTCTTTGTTCCTCATCACAGCTGCTTAATTGTCACTATCCAATCTGGACTGTTCATTTTAAACTCTTCAGACCTAATTAAGGCTGCTAGTATGGTCATATTGAAGATTTTATCAGCTCTGAGTTATACATGCATTCTTTAATACTTGTGATCTATAGTATTTTATCATTAGCTGGCTATCCCTAAACTAAAGGAACTAGGGACATCTCCTAACTTCCATGTCCCTCAGTTTAGATGTAATCCATCTTCCATCTTCGTAATGAGTGAAAACCTGTGTAAAAAAACATTAGAGACCACTATATCTTATTTGATGACTTTGTCATGAACTATTTTTACTTCCCATGTCAAACATTTAATTCATGTCTCAGTAGTTCAAATACAGCTTCAGTTGTACACTTCTACTTTCCACATAGCTACAGAAGAATAAAATGGACCTCCCCATCCTCACTTTTCTTATTCTCATCTCCTTAGAACTTGTCAAAAACCGTCCTGTTTCAAGCTACATTTCCAACGCCTGTTGGACTTACTCTCTCTGAGTTTTGCCAAGTCACATAGACTAGTACAACATCTGTGGAGCTTTTTGATTAGGCAAGCTAAATTTTTATTGGTCAATGATACCAAGAGCTGGTTCAAGCTACATCAGCTCAAATGAGCTGAAAATTCAGTCCTCTGGCAGACTGCGATCAGGAAAAAAGGTGCCTCCAGCACCGTTCTTAGCTGACATCACCTCCTGGCCCAACATGGAAAACAAAATCATTCTGCAATATCCAGAAACAATTTACCCCGTAGGAGAAGGAAAGTTTCAAAGTGGTACTTAATTAGTCTTGCTATTTGCTAAGGAACTGTGGGAAGATATCACACAGTTGCTAAAGAAGGATAAATGTGGAGTACCAGAAACTATCCAGGAGCTGGGAAGCAGATAGACATTTTGCTTTATCTTTGTAAAATAAAAGGCTTTCATTCGATTTGCCCTACACATCCAATAGCAATGTGGCACTTCTGGGGTAACAGACACAGCACAGCTAGCAAAGAATGTGAAAAACATGAGGACTGTGCGTATTTTCTTTACTGTTGTCTAACAATAGTGATTAACGCTGGTGGCCATGGAGACTTTGGATGTAACATAATAGCAGAAACATCATTAGTCCGTAGTCTGTAGCCCTTTTCTTTGCCTAAGTGTAGATATATAGAAACATAGAGAGATTTTTGATAATTTGTGTTTTCTGACTCTCCTACCACTAGGGTGGTGGGTTTGGTTCTGATAATTACTGGTTCCCTTCTCACTGTCATTGGCCTTGTGATGTCTGCCAAGTTCAGGTGACAAGCAATTGAAGGATGGAACCAGCCTGTCATTATATTAACAATATAGATCATGAAGCTGTCTAGGATAGACGAGATATCACAGACAGCTGTCTTTTTGTGGGGGAGGATTTTTGTGCGTGTGTGTAGGTAATTCACACATTTGTATGAAGCACAAAGAAGAGGAAAGCTCCTAAACCCGCCGTTATTTCCTCATGGCTTCCATTAGCTCTCACGTGCGCTTATTACATTTAAGCTGTCTCCTAAGTGTTCAGAATGGTAGAAAATTATTATAGTCCTTTATTTTTAAAGATTACCAGATGGAGTGATTCCTCATGCTTCAGCACACTCACGTTCCTCTGCTCTGTCCCCTTGGCACGCACAGCTTCAGTGCCAGAGCCAGTGCTCAGTTGGGTGCCAAGCTGAGACAGTGCAGGTGAAGTCCTTCGCCTTCTCCCTTGCTATTCATGCCACCCAGCTGAGCATCATGTGTAAATGCCGTGTCTTCTCTTCAAATTCATACTCAAGATGTTCCCAGCCTGCACGTAGACACTTGCAAGGGTTGCAGTTTCAGAGGAGCCGCATTGCCTCAGCACTGTTTGGTAAAGGAGGTGCATGGGTGTCTGCTAAAGGAGAACTGATTTCATTCCTAGCTCTGGTACAGCCTTGCTGGGTGACCTTGGGCAAGCCACTTAACACCTGTGTTCCCTTATTCCCTGCTGTGTAAAATATTGCTGATGCTTATCTCGATTAAAGAGGAGCAGCGAGGCGATGTTCATTAATTATTGTTGGAGAGTGCTGGAGATTCAGGCCAATAAAAGCATAGACTGCACTGCTTTGCCCTTCTACAACACAGTCATCTGAGGAGGGTAAAGCATTACATCTTCCACTTTCATGTGAAAAGAAAGAAAATTAAAACTCCACTTGGAAGCGCTATTTTAATTGGCTTTGTTTTTTGTTTTCCCGCACTGTACCCAAGGCTAAACTCACTGAGGCATTTATAAACCTGTAGAAGATGAAGACAGGCACCTTGTGCAATTTGCACAAATAGCCTGGGAATCTGCTTCCGCTGGAGTCAGGCATCTGACCTGCTTGGGTGGTTTCATCACTCCCAAGGGAATGCCCTCTACATCCTTAGTTGGCAGATTTTTTTAGGTAGTCAAAGCTCTCGATTCACCATTCTCAATGCTTAAAGATACAAAGCAAATAAAAACAACACTGCAAACCCATTGTACAACATACTCCTCACTGCCTTCTTAGTTTTATTCAAGCACTTTGCAATATGAAGTTGGGGGGGAGAAGCTGTTCCTGAAACTGCTCTCATTTATTTCCAGTTCATAAGAGCACGAGCTCCATTTAACAACACTCTTGTCTAGCATCCAGTGCAGACTCCTTGCAGAGGCAAAAGGATTTCATCGCTGCCTTGCTCTGTGTTTCTGTGTGTTGCTCCGAGTTTATTGCTGAATTAGCTTCCATGGAAGCTGAGGAAACTTGTTCCTGATGGAGGGCAGCTTCCCCATGCAAGAGCAGCTGCTCTTTGCACAACTGTAACAACAAGCGTTGGATGATGGTAGTTAGGGGTTTTGCTTCGCAGATGTTGCTGTGAAAAGGTTTCAGCTTTGATGTGTGGCTGCAACAGCTCCCAGCTACTCGGTGCTTTATTGGTTTATATATAACAAGTCCTGCAGAAGAGGCCCAAATCAATAGCTATAAATTCAGATTTGATTTTCTGTGTACCTTGTGGATCTATTGTAAGCTCTGTAATCATCCGTCTCACCACCCACCCATCAACTGATGGTTTTTTCCCGGAAAACTGAATTTTTGACTAACTTATGAGACATAAGGACAGGGACCTGACTGTGGGGTTTGTCACTCTCTCATCATGGTGTAAAAACTGCTCCCCAAATAAATCGAAATAGTCCAATTTCTGCCTTTTCAGAAGGAAAAGACCCCTCTTTCCTTTGGATGGACTGGAAAACAATCAGTTTCTTCGAATATTTAAAATTTGTAAGGCAGTAGTTACACATTTATCTTCATATATGGAAGAGCATATTTGAGTGCAGGAAGTGAATCAAATCAATCATTTTGTTGCATCGCTGAAACACAATACCAGCAATAGTTCCAGGGATCTGCAAAAGACTCCTGAAACAAGATCCAGGAGAATCATTTGAGAGTAGCTTGGCAGTTACTGAGTTAATTTTCTGGGCCAGAATTTCCCCAGGTGGAAACCTGGCAGAGATTACCCCAGAGCAGGCATTGGGAAGCTGTGTGAGCATTGACTGCCTTCAGGTGGGTCCTGGCTGCTGCGGGGAATTAGTGGCTGAGCAGATGGCAACTGCTGAGAAAGTTGGGCTCTGCGGATCCCTTAAATATATGGTTCCCTCACAGGCCTCTTCTCTGCTGAAAATTTTCTATAGTATGTGTGTTATGTTTCTATATACATATTATGTCCTCCTTCTATGTTTCTTACGTTCTTTCTTCTCTTTAAATTTCTTCCTGTTGTTGTCCTGGAGTGGATTTTTCTGCTTTTGGATTGCTTTATGGATAATCAAAAATGGTAAGTGAATTAATGGTTAAAGAACCCAAGCTGTTAAGCAGGGTGTTTTACTGAGAGGAGTTGTGTTCACTAGTGTTTGGTGTTCTTAATGCTTTATTGTTAGATTTCAGAAATTTCCTATTTAGGGTTGGAGACGTTTTATAAGAAGACTGTCTTAATGGCCATAATGTTCCATTAAATGTGGTCTTTCTTGTATATGTTTACAATTTTTTTTAAATTGTAAGTGCTCTGCTTGCTCTGTGGAGAGCTTGTTTTACCCAAATTAGAAAATTGGGGAAAACAAGAAAAGAGAAAACCTTTCAGGCGGAGAGAGAGAGAGAGAGGTGAGATTGAGAGAGCTGCAAAGACTTGCTTAAAAGAGCAAGTGCGTTTTAATATTGGTATATATGTGTATTTATGTATATGTCTAATACACTTTGTGTATACACGCACCTGTGTCATCCAATCTCATGAAACTAAGATGAGTTTAACTGAAGTTGTGCATTGCTGCCGTGCATCATTCCTGCTTTGAGGAGTGCAGTCTTATGCTGTGGTGCTGCCTTTCTGGCCATCAGTGGGAAGTGCTTTTCTTATCCTTCCCGTGCCCCTTGGCGGGGCTGGCTGTGCAGTGGCTCCTGGGGACCTTATCAGGCAGTTCTTCCTCGTCACTGCTCTGAGCAGTAGTTGTCTTGTTCAGATAATAACTTACCTTGATAAAGCTGGACAAAAATGAAACAAAGCAGGGAAAAATCAATAGCTCTTACTGTAATAGAGGGGATGTGTTTCTAGCGTGGTTTATGGAGGTGTATATAATGAATCATGTTATATATGACCGCATATTAGGTACATTTCTTCTGTCCTTACTCATAGGAGTAGTTCCAGGTAACCAAGGGGTCTATGTGGAGGATGTGGCTTAGCTTCCCTTACTGCACTGTGCCCTCCCACAATTGTTGTGGCCAAGCCTAGTTTCTCTCTATTATTTAAGCAATCATGAACCCTAGAGATGTTTAACAATGGGACTTCTTTAGGTATATTAAGCTATGGTGAAATTTTCTCAAAGGAAAAGATGACCAGACTTCTGGGATAAGCCTGGAAGATGCATGACGTAGAGTCATCCTGCCTTGACAAATGGATGGGTTGGAAGGGCTGCTTTAAGGAACTTACTGAAGTTTTCTCTTTCTGTTTTTGGTTTGTTTTCCCTTGTCTTGAAGAAATCATATGTGGAATCTTTAGCTCAAATAAAATTGTCTTTTAGACTAAGACAATCAAGAGCACAAATCAACAAGACCAATATGGTGAGTGTCCAGTGGGGCATTAAGGATAATGTGCTTTTTCTTTCCCCTCTCCCTGCCGAGCCCTTTTCTCCTCTGGGGTCCTTCTGCACCAGTTGTAAGGATGGATGTCCCTTCCAGAAATCTGTTGTAAATTGGCACCTTAAAGTCGTGCTCAGAGGCTTCTGATCTTGGCAGTATGTGCTGTAATGTCTCCTGCTCCTGCTTTCTGCTGGACTAACCCTTGGAAGTCCCTCCAGGGAGCCCGGGGGAAGCCTGCTTCAGTTTATGGTGTTTGGGACTCAAGGTCCTGCCTGCAAAGGCAGATGATTCCTGTGTGCAGAAAGTCATTAGCAGCCCTGGCCCATGGCCAGCACGGTGAGGGCAGCAGCACTGCTCCTCTCCAAGGTGCCCGAGTGATATTAATAACCAAAGGCTCCCTGGTAATATACTGAATGTGAGACATATTCTAATAGGTAGTTATGGTGAGATAACTGGCTGTTCTCTGGCTTCGTTTGAATACGTGTGAGTACCTTTAGTAGCAGACAGAGCTGGTCAAATAGTGGGCTTGCATGTGGACATACATACAGTATAGAGACATAGAGAATCCCTGCCCAAGTGTAACTGTAGCAGGTAAGTTTATGGGTATTATAGTGTCTAATCTGTGATACTATCCTAATTGCTCTCTGCATTATCTTTTGAATGGAGATGAAAATATTTTATCAGTTCTATTAGATGCAGTACAACAAAAACTGATACTTATACCATGTAAACTGGTTATGCTGTAAAGAATAATCCAAGTGGAATTTAGATCAGTCCTTTCTCACAAGGACTGAGATGAATTGTCTGGAGACTGAGTGTAGCTGAGTTTTCAAGACTACTCTGTGAAAGCAAGACCTTGAAATTGAATATGGTTTCATTAAAGAACACTGCTAATGAGATAATACGGCTATTATTCTCTTTTTGCAGAATTGTTCCAAACTGTGACTCTATTCTCCTGTCCTGGTGTTTTCTATGATTAAATGATTTATGGGCAATTAGCTCCTGAACCCCTGTGTGTCATCCTGTTATAAGCATCTCTTTGTTTGTGCTCTGTAGGGGTTTCAGCTCTACTGCACTGAGCGGTACTCAGGAGGTGTCTGTCAGCTTCCTGCTCATGAGGACCTCTGTGTCTTCAGCTTCACAACAGGCATTTGGTGTTCAGAGTTCTGGGCTTTCAAGGGGAATGTAGTGAGAGAAGCAACTACATGGGTGGAGTTCACAGCTGCTGATAAACAGGGGCTGCTGCATTTATCTGGCACTTCTTGGAAAGCTCTCAGTTATCTTTCTTTCTGTTCTTTCTACCAAGAACTGACCTTCAGGTTAATATGTTTTGATAATGGGCTTGATAACATGTCAAGACTGTGTCTAGGATCGCGGCCTTTCTGTACAGAGAGGACCTGCTACCTCTGCTGCAGTGTTTTCTAGGGAGTATTTGCAAGCTCTGCTGACATTGCGGAAGACTGAGGCAGGAGGAAAATGGTGGTAAACGTTCATGGAAGTTTAAACTCTTGTACTTTGTATGCAGTGGCTGCAAAGGAATGATCTCTTCTGGCGTTGTTAACAAAGCTCTTGAGTTTCTTTTGCATCAGCTGAATGAGATGAAAATGGGGAGGTTAAGCATTTAATTGGCCACAAGTGTTGGAAGACGTTGGGTCAAGCTCTGGTGTCCTGCGTGTTTGCTCTGACACTGGAAATGTCACTGCCACAGCCTTTACTCATGCGCAGGATGCTGTTCACATTAATACATTTCAAATTGATGGTGTAAGGATGGGAGGACTGTGTCTTGCCCTCTGTGCAACCATTTAATAAAAATAAGAACAGTCAAGGCAAGTTTGTGGAAAAAGATGGTAGTGTCGGGGTATCAGAGGGGGCAATTCAGGGACAGTGATGTGCAGCACATCTTCTCCTGTCCAGCTGCCCTGTCCACAGCACAGGCAGACCCAGCTCTTCTGATTGCAGTGAGGCTGTGAGCGATGTTCTTGAGCAGAGACACATAATGGTGAAATCTGTGGGGAAGGAAGGGCAAGTGCTGGCTAAAGTGAACCTAAACTCCCAGCAGTTGTGCAGTTCTGCCCACTGAAAAGTGGGAAAAGACCTGCAGGGCCATGGCAGAACTCTTGTTATAACCCAAAAAGAGCAGGATTCTTCCTCTACAGCCAAAACTTGCCACTTCTGTAACTGCTCTGCAAGAAACAAGCCCTGATGCTTTGGCTACTAAGCAGATGCTGCTTGTTATCAGAGCCACAGCCTTGAGCTCTTAGGACCCAGAGGTTTGTCTGTCTATCTGCAGTTATGGTCTGTTCTACTAGTAATCACTGGTGTGTGCTTGCGATAAAGCTCTTTGTAGGCAGACAAAAAGCATGTTCCGCTTTGATTCACAGGATATTAAATCTCTTTTGGAGTCAAAGAAACAATTTGCTGTGTGGCACAGAATGACCTGTCCGACTGTAGCTAATGACCTTTATCCAAATGAAAAACTTTCTTGCAAACATCTGCCTTAAATAAGGGAGACTTCTTGAGAACAGATGTAGAATGCTTAAGTCTTAGGAGCTATGATGCAGTTCAATTGAATAAGAACAGTTTCTTTGAAGTTTCAGGAACGCTTCTACACCATAATATCAGTTAGAGGGAAGGATGGTAGGAGTTATCTGACTTTGGTCCCTGATTTCCTTCTGTTACGTGCACCTGGATGCAGCAAACACTTGAACACTAGTGCTTAGGCTTCCAAGGACTTACCTGGTTACTTACTAAAGGTAAACAGCAATTACTGTTATGCAGCAATTGGATTCTTGAGTGCAAGTAATCAGCTTGAGCAGTGTACAGCGCAGCCTCCCCTATTAAGGCTGCATCTAAAGCTTATTGAAATCGGCAGGGGGCTTCTAATTGAGCTCTGACAGGCAGTGGTTCTAGCACTTACCAATTCAGAACTGTGTTTCTGTTGTGTGGGGATTTGTTTGTGCTTGCTTTTTTTTTTTTTTTAACATATAAACATATGTCAATCTGAAGGCACTGAACTATGCCTGTGAGTTTCTGTGACAAAAAAAGTCTAATTTATAAAGCAGCTAATTGCCATAATGCACTTGGAGTGTTTAAGTAAATCTGAAGATAGGGACTGCCTGAAGTATCTATATGCACAGTTAGGAGTTTATTTGATCTGTAGCTGTTAGATAAGTGGTCTTGGGCTATAGGTGCATGGGGGCCTTTGTGGCTGGACTGAACAGTTTGGCTCCTTCCCTTACTCCTTCCCCAAGGGGCCCACAGGGATTGCATGCAGGTGCAGAACGGGCCCTGCAACCCGTGGCTGGACAGGGCAGCTGCTGTCCCAGGCCTCGTGTGCAGCATTGGCAGCGAGTGTCTGACTGTGGTGGCATGGCCATGTGTCGCTGGTTGGCAGCATAATTATGAAATGGGTAATCTAATTCAGATCTTTCCCTTTTTTCTGTAAGTGATGGCTGCAAACATAGCAGGACGTGGTTAGAATGCTTCACGTGTTTTTTGTGTGCTTTTTTCCTTAGGCTTGTTTTCCTTCTTAAGAAAGACAAATTGTTGAATACATTTGCATGCTGTTGTGCTGGAAATTATGTGTTCGCAGGCGTTTTTTTGTCTGTGCTCAACTAGTTGGATGTAGATTCTCATTTCTAATAAGAAAGTGGCAAGATTCCAAGTCATTGTGTGTGGGGGGGCTCTAAGTGTTGTTCTCCCCAAGGA